TCTATCTATCTATCTATCTATCTATCTATCTATCTATCTATCTATCCATCCATCCACATTTGGGTGAAGCGGCTCCATCAGTGCCTTTTTAACCAGGCCCACCTTTCCACTCCTGCCGTTTCCCGACAGTCTTCTTGGATTTATGCTCTCATTGTCCATCAAACTACAACAGATTATTTCTTCCCTCCGCCTGCGCGCGACACGGAAACGCGCGCGCTGTTTGTTGTATCATTCGCTGCACAAACTGATGCTCATTCATGACCCCTCCTCCTGCTTCTCCTTTGATTTATTATTTTATTTTCCTCAATGAGGATGCAGAGGTCCTGGAGAAAATAAAAAAAGAAGAATCTGAGTTGAACAGCGGCCCTCTGAGGAGCGCGTGAGGACGCGGTTGTTTTGTGAGCGCGGTAAACGAAGCGCGCGAACGCGTTTCCTTGTTTTCCTGAAGGCTGACTAAAGCAAATCCTGTCCGACAACATGATGATCCTCTGAGTGTCCAAACCTGTCAGCCTCTCTCTGTGTTCAGTGCAGAATAAGACGGATGTCTCTTAGAGGCTCATTCCACTGGGAAAACAAAAGAAGTGACGCAAACTAAACAAACTGGAGCGCGTGGCATGTTTGCAAAAAATAACGCAAAGTAATCTTCATTAAAATAAATGTTGGCCTTGACTCTTTGACCCGAAAAAACAAAACAAAAAATAATGATTTAATTGGCCTTGACTATAAACAAATAAACAAAAAATAAAAAGGCGCATTCTAATCAAAAGTGTAAAAACAGAGAAAAGCACCTTTTAAATAATTACATCATGATGCAACTGCATCTATAAAACTAACAGTGTTGTATAAAGTACCTCAAAGTGATACTTGAGTAAAAGTACAAGTATCTTATCATAAAAATACTTTGGTAAAAGTTCAAATCTTCTCTAAAAATACGACTTGAGTAAAAGTCTTAAAGTATCTGATATGTTTTGTACTTAAAAGTAAATTTCTGACACAAAATATACTTAAGTATTAAAAGTAAAAGTACTGAGTAAAAGTGAGATTTTCCAAAATGACATTTACTGGGAGGTGACTTCTTAAAAATATATATTTTCTAACGGCGTGCAGCTGTGATGGGTTGTGTACAAGCTGGTATTTATTTATACTTCTCATCCAAATTAAATTCACCCGATCAGGAGACACAATTTATCAGGATAGTATTTTTTAAAGTAATAAATCTGAATAAAATAAGAGTAATGACTTTCTATTTCTTACCTTTTTTAAAAATGTAGTGAGTAAAAAGTACAGATAATTGTGTAAAAATGTAACGAATAAAAGTAAAAAGTTCGCTGAAAAATAATTACTCAAGTAAAGTACACATAACCAAAATTTCTACTTAAGTACARTAACAAAGTATTTGTACTTAGCTACTCTGATGCTGATATAAAAATAAATTTGAGATTCATTGATTCTCTGATGTTTTGCAGCTGCAGTAAAGCTGCGTCTTTATTAAAATGAACAAAATCTCCGTTCAAACACCGGAAAAWGCTGTAAAACACAAACAAACAAACAAAAATAAATAAATAAATTAAAAAAAATCACTGCGGCCTCTTTAAGACACCAGAGCAAAACAAGTCTTAGGAGGAGGAGGGAGAAAGTGAGGGAGGAGGGAGGGAGGGAGGGAGGACCGAATGGCAGCTTTTACGCAGACTCACCTGCTGAAACGCGCCTCAGCTCCTCTCCTCGCGCTCACCTCCGATTAACATCCAACAGCAGGTCAGCGGTTCGTGCTCTCTCCCTGTCCTGCTCACTTCCTGTGCTTTTGCTTCCATTTTCTTTCTTTCTTCTTTTGTTTGGACACAAAGAGCTTTTCTGCCATCATGTCCGCTGTGAATGGATCGTCGGTGCCAGAGTGAGGCGAACAAAGCGCATCAAGTCTCTCCGGAGAGCTGCTTCTTTTCACAACCCCCGGATTCTTTTCTCTTTTTTTTTCTTATTTGGTTTGTAAGTAAAACTTCTCAGGATAATCCGTTTGATAGGTTGGTTTCTCTTGGACAGCGCGCCGAGTTAAAGATGGAGAGGATGAGATGTTCCTCAGCCAGGCGGATGGGCTTTTAATTTAGGGAACATCCGATCCTGGAGAGAAACAACAACACAAACATAATGGCATGATTTGGATAGCAGCAGTTACTGGTTACCTCTGGGAGTTGACGGAAAGCAAGAGAATAGCCCGGCTCTTCAGCTCGCAAATCCCAAAATAATCCTGTCCACAGACGTGAAAACCGCGCTCTGATCCCACAAAAAGCGCGTCCTGCACGGCGGCCATGGAGCACACGGGCATCGAGGAGGTGAGCCAGACGCACCAGCAGCAGCACGAGCCCATCAGCTTCGGGATCGACCAGATCCTCAACAGCTCGGACCAGTCCAGCGGCTGCATGCTGCCCAACCGGACCGGCGCGGACCCGGATTACGCGCTGGCCCCCAACGTCTACGGCAACGGCTACGGCGGCGTCTACAACCCGGCCTGCTCGATGGCGGCGGCCGCGGCGGGCCTGGCGGGCTCCTACAACGTCAACATGAACATGAACGTCAGCATGAACATGAACATGAACGTCAACGTGAACTCGGCCAACCCGGGCGGCGTCATCCGGGTGCCGGCGCACAGACCCATGCCGCCGCCGCCGCCGCCGCCGCCCGCAGCCGCCGCCGCGCCGCACCCGCCCCCTCCGACTCATCCTCCGGGCATCGGACCCGGGATCCCCTCGGTGGCCGGGATGGGGATGGGGAATCCCGCCAACTTCACCTTTCCGTGGATGGAGAGCAGCAGGAGGTTCGCAAAGGACAGACTNCACACACACACACACACACACACACACACACACACACAGAAAGCCCTGCTCACTCTTCCTCAGACCCATTTAATCCCAATAAGGAGTTAATTTATAAGCTCGTTGCAAACAAATGTAGCATTTTAAGCCTTTTATTTCATTTCCTGCTCCGACTCCATGAAAAACTCACATTTTTTGACCAAAACGTAAAACTAACAAGGTCAGATTTGAGTGTTTTGGATACTGAGTGAGAGTTTTTATCTTCAAAAGATCAAATCAGAGGCTTAAAGCTGGAAAGCAGAACCTTTCATTCTTCTTGAAAATAGAAAAAAAAAAACCCACAACAAATATGGAGAACTGGTTCCCATCATCAGTGTTTTCATTTGTTTTCTCATCATTAAAACTGCTTTTTTTTTTCCTGTTTACAGCTTCTTAATGAAAAGGGAGATAAATTCATACAGATGATTATTTAGGATAATTAGTTCCTGTTCCCAATAATAAACATTTTTATTCCTTTAAAATGAAGTTTTGTTTTTTTCTCTTGTGTTTTCCRTTTAGTTAATGAGACTTTAAGTGGAAGAACTTGCGTTAAATGTAAAAACAGTGATTCTCATCAGACTCAACGACAAGAAAAATGTCATTTTATGCAAATGTTGGTTAAAAAAAAACAAAGAAAACAAATCAGCTTTTTAAAGCTTTTATCCACTAAATGTTAGTTTATCATTTCATATTGACTTTTATTTGCAGGCAGATGTCAGCCCCCCCACCCCCGCTCCCTCTGCAGAATGGCCCCGGGGCCCCCTCCTGCCCTCTGCCCTGGGGTAAGAGCGGCTGCGCTGGCCCTGACAGGCGGCTGGTGGCGCTTCGCTGCGGCGGAGGAAATTAAATTACCGCTGCTGTTGTCCTCTTTGTAAACAAGACAAAAGCCAATGATACGGCCAATTACACCTAAACACAAGTCAGGCGCTGCGTGCAGCCATGACTCACGCACAAACTAATTGTTGAGCTGCTTCTGCAGAGATTTATCGCAATTTCAAGCAAAAATGTTGCCGTTGTTTAAATACTGAATGCAGAAATGCAACTTAATGATGCATCTTTTAAATAAAACTGTGGTTTTGTGAAAATAGATGACGTATTTGGGAGCATGAACACTGGAAAATAAAAAAAAATAGCTTGTTTCTTTATTCAGACTAACATTTATATAAATGTGGCAGTTTTAAACCTCCATATAAACATGAANATCTGAATCCTAATTTTATGTCATTTTAATGAGGAATTTTTGATGTCATAAAGAAGAAACCTCAAATTATATTTGAATATTAAGATTTCCCAGCTGGAAAGAAACAACACTTTGCTAACTCACAGGGAAAATCTCACAATTTTAAGGCGTTTTTCCTCAAAATCTGTTTTTTTTGTTGCTACTGCTCAAAAATCTGCTTGAAATTTTTTGTTTTATGATTATATTTCAGACAGTTCATTCAAATGATACATTGATAAGGTTTTTTATTCATTATATTTTGACAAAATGCAATTTTTGTTAACATTTTAATCAAAACACTATATCTGCCTGTTTCTCTGGACCACTTTTAGACTTAATCGTCGTTTCGATGTGACGGGTCACAAATACGAAATGTTTAGTCTGAGTTTGATTTATCGTTGTTTTTCTACAAATTGTCACTTATTTTGTCTGAATGACAAATGTGTCGTTTTGTGATGAAACATGTCCAAAGACAGAGTTTATGGCAGGAAACCAGGTTAAAGTGGCCTCTGTTCRTCGTTCAGGCCTCCTTCATGTGATTAAAGCAGCCGGTGCCCGGCTGGCTGCTGCTGCTGCTGCTGTCCTCCAGATGTGGGACCTGACTGTGTCTCCCTTTCATTTAGGGGAGGAGGCAGAGGAGAGCCGAGCCGGGGAGGCCGCAGGGGGGCCGGAGGCGGCCGGGTCCCTCTGCCCTCTCCCCAAGGGAGACATCGGCAGGGTCCCCGTCTGGAGCACCGTGGAGACTTTGGCCAAATGCTATTACCCCGAGCTGGCTCACCTGCGAGACAGCAGCGGGCTCCTGGCCGACTATCCTTTCCCAAAGGGGGCTTGTCCAGGTGAGTCACCCCCCCCACCCCCAATGTAAAACTCACAAATAATTGTTTAAAATGGTTTTTCATGTGTTTTATTAGCAGCTAAGGCAAAAACTTCTCACTTTATTGATTTATTTTTGGTTACATTTTTGGATCCATGTGTCAGAACCAGAACACACAAAACTGTCTGTCGAAGCAAGTTTTTAAATCTTATATCCAGACTCAAAATAAAAAAAGAGTCTTTTTGATCTTGTTTTTAGAACTGATTTATTGAACAAGAACAGAATGTTTAAGATTAAGAATCTAGTTAGCAGAAAATGTGAGATTATTTATTTTGTCAGCCAAAAATTTGACTTAAATTGAGTGAAAAAAAATCTGCCAACGGAGTGAGACACAGATTAGGACCACTGAACCAAAGAATTCTGACTTTAATCTCTGAATTTGACTTTAATCTCAGAATTCTGACTTTTAATTCTTAATTTAATCTCTGAATTCGACTTTAATCTCAGAATTTTGACTTTTAATTCTGACTTTAATCTCTGAATTTGACTTTAATCTCAGAATTCTGACTTTTAATTCTTAATTTAATCTCTGAATTCGACTTTAATCTCAGAATTTTGACTTTTAATTCTGACTTTAATCTCTGAATTTGACTTTAATCTCAGAATTCTGACTTTTAATTCTTAATTTAATCTCTGAATTCGA